AGTATTTACCCAGGTAAATATTGGAAGGGTGAAGCTATTTGCATCAAATATTTCCTATACCATGCCAAGATGGAGTGACCATTGAACATGAAACATTTAAGAGCCAGCTTTTATTTTTTTTACCTAAAAATTACAATACTGTAATATGTTTAAAATTTGAGGGTTGTATTAAATTTTTTAAAGCTCACTTCCAAAATATATTATTCTAAATAAAATAACCCAATGAAGGCAAACTTGAGTAAAAATCAAAGAAAAGTAAAGTAGGAGATGGAAGGTTGTAATTTTGATTTCTTATTTACCTAACACTATTACTTATGGTTTGTTCTGGGTAAAAATTAGGAACAAAGCTCTACCTGCCACACAAAGCTTACATATATTCATTTCTCATAGAATGTTACAATTTCTTGATAAACATTTCATGTCCAATTCTGTTGTCACTTTTCTGGGTAGTTTTATAGTCTTCTAATGCCAAGAAGATGGCAAGATAGAGGAAGTGGGCAGGAAATTCTCAATCAAATTGAAAATACTAATTTAGGCTCCCAGATATGAAATTGTAATGGGTAAAATGTTCTGCATTAATCCTTTTAAAAACATGTATATAATTATTGTGGAATAGAAATAGCTTATTGATAGCAAAGGACAGAAGGTCCCACCTTCTGCCTCATAATAGCCACGCATGATTATCAGCTTTCTTCACATACCTGTAAATATATATTGGACATGTCTACTGCACAGGTATGTTGTGGGAATCAAATAAGAGAGTCCCTAGAAGAAGCTTTAAAAAGGAAATATCTACAGAAAGATTCTGAAAAAGGATACTCCTTTGACTAGCAGCTAAAACTATCTCCAGAACATCAAATCAACAAATTGTCAAAATTTTGTAAAACTGGCTAAGGCCCAGTTTTACTTTACATACACACACACACAACACACACAACACACACACACATATGCATGTATATATACATGTATCAAACCAAACTGGCCACCTTTACTTAAAAGTAATCTAAAATGTTTAGGCCATTTAAGGGATATTAGACATTATTTAATTCACCTGCCTTATTTTACAGATGAGAAAACAGTTACGCACATATTTAGGCCTCCTTCCCAAAGGAGGTGAAATTTGGAATTAGAGAGTAGAAAACATTCTTCTTTTTAGGCACAAAGCGTATATATGCATAAATGTGTGTACACATATGTATATGTGTGTGTATATATATGTCCTAAACAGATGATATTACTATTTCATTGGGTGGTTATTACGAAAACAATATCAAAAAAGGCTTCCCTCATAGTGATGATAAAAACACACTCAGCCAAACCTATACTGAGGGTCCAAATATCCTAATTAAATATGGTGCCCATTCCAGTATCCTACAGCAATCATAAACTTTCTATACCTTGGAATTAATTATACAACTCTGCATACATAACCATTTGTCCTTAAGAACAGAATGCTGTCATGAAGTTGTTATTATTTTAAATTGATAACCAAATCATTACTTGTAGCATAATATCAATAGGTGCTATTATTATTCTGGAAACAATGTGTAGAAGTAATAAAACTCGAAACATGTTTATTCTTGAATGGATTGGGCTCACCTGGCTTCAGGCTGGGATAGGGCAGGGGTGACAAAGGCTGGGATGTGAGTGGCTACTTTAGGGATTGAAGGTCTTATGACTTGAGCAACAGAGAATGGTCAGACTAAAGTGATTCATTAGCTTTAACTGCTTTCAATCTCACAGTATATAATTCCAAACAAATTCTTAACATAAGAATCAAGAGATCCAATCAAGAGAAATAAATCCCATTATATAATCTTACCTAGGTGCTTATAGAAATATTTTACTATATTTTCTAATACAGAGATGAAATTAATTATAGAATCATAGAATTCCAGAATTGGAAATAATTTGAAATTAGTCAAACCTCTTGTTATATGCATGAAAAAACTGGATCCTAAGAATTACAATATTGTGACATAGAGTTTTCCATCCCACAGAGATATATCAGGGATGCAATAATTACCCAAGAGCTTGTTAATACTCAAAAATAAGAGAATACATGGCTTAAATGAGCCTGTAAGTTTCTTATCGTCAAAAGTAATTGGAACTATTATTTAGGGTTTTCAAAGATTTGAGCATGAAAACTGCAGAATTATAATAGTTCATGACATATTGTTTCATTCATATACATGAAAAGAGAGTTTCCAGTGATGTTCTGGTATTACAAGTATTCCTGAATTCACTTATGACAGAAACAAAGCTACAAAAAATATGACAGCCATTATCAGGAAGCCAAATGCCTTTTTTCCAAGCATAAGCACAACATTTATAATTATTGAATAAAGACAGATGTTTAAAATAAGGTAAAATTAAGATAAAGGAGACAATGGTTATTATCATCTACATCCATGCAGGAAAAGCTAGGATATCTACCTAAATTACACTGAAATAGATCTTCTTTTTTGCATGAAAAGTTACTTAATCTGGAGTTCCTAAACACACACACACACACACACACACACACACACAGAAATCACAAAAAATCAAGCCATTTAGGGTGTCTAGAGTATTACGATATTTTTATACTGATATGTGTATGGGCAGTTTAAGAAAACCACATTGGATCTAAGCAAGTTCAAATCTACATTCAATATTGGATCTACAACTTTATTGCTGTGCTCCAAATAACAGAAACGGAATAAATAACATAGTAGTAGTATCAAAGAAAATTACTTCCTGAGTTGTTTGCCCCATACTAAAATGATGGGGCTTGCAGGTTAGATGGGCGAAGAAAAGGCCATAATTACACAACACAGTAGAAGTGGCACAATTTAGAAATTAAAATAGTACTTAGAGCACTTAATCAGTTATTCTTTAGTATGAACTCTGATTCAATTGATTTTTCTTGGTATTGAGGGGCTAAATGAATGATGGAATCACCTGTAAGAACATTTTGGGACAGACTTTTTTTTTTAAAAAAATGCTATGCTACTCAACTACCGTGATAAGAGAAAAACGGAGAGCTTGTTGACTATTTCTGACTTTAGACGTGAAAAGTAAATAAACTGGTTGTTTAACGGCTTTCTAATCATCAGTCACTGCTGTGAGATAGTCACTTCCTCTCCCAGAAGCAGAATATGTGGATTAGGACATTTATCTTTCAGAAATATTAATGCTTATACTTCTAAGCAACAGAGACAGAAATGCTGCTACTAATTAATTTATGTACTCTAAATTATAATACTTAGTCATAAAGTATACATCCAACATCTAAAATCATATGATTTTAGCAATTTTGTTGATAAAGTTTTAGCATTGCTCAGCATTCATGGTTAGTTAATAATTTTAAAAAGCGATTTGAAACATTAAAGATATAACACAGGCTTAGTACATTTTAAAAACAATTAACCAAGTAAATGTTTTAAATTAGAATTGTTTCAAGATTGCCAAGAAAAAATTCTTCCCAAAACCACTGTTATAAAATATTTCATCTAATTATGAGAGATGCTATAAAGTGAAGTCCATACAAACTAATAAATCCTCAGAAAATTTCTCACTTTGATCTTCTGGAGAGGGAGGGCAGGGGTTTCTTCAGGGTTTATAATAACAATGTCATTTGTCATAGGGAATCATATTTTATAATTTCACGGGAGAGTAGGAGAAGAGGGGTGCATGGTATGAGGAAGAGGGTTATATTCACAATTAAAACTGTGAAATGCTAAACTCTATTATGAAGACAAATAGGAAAGTACAACTTCATTGTTGAAAACAATTTCTCTCCTATCAGTCCAAGGATTCATGCATCAATATTGTAGATGAACTGTTAATTACAAAATCAATTAAAAATTATTTCTAAAAACAGTCACGCGTCCCTGGCTCTCATGGGGGCAATTTGGGCAGAAGGTCTCATCTCACTAGGACCGCGCCAAATCACAAAGTCGTCATCCACAAGTAAGCAAAAGCAATCTGGTTTTTCATTTTTCAGCGCGGCTGAGCCCAGCCTGAGATTGATCGTCACATATGGCCCCAGAAAACAAACTGTCAATACCTTGAATGCTGCAGAATTTGAACAAATAGCCGTCCGCCCATTCAAGCCACTCATTGCATCCCATTTAACAGATTTTATTGACAGTTTCCTTCTTGTAATTAAAGGGAAAACTACTGGCCGGCAACCAAGATAAAGTTCAAAGATAGGGTCAAAACAAAAGCAGATGGAGGGGCACGGTGTGACTGTCAATGGTACCTAGCATCAGAGCATGTTATTGACACACAGGTATCTAATGATCGGCACATCATTAAGGAGGGATCTATCCTGAACTTTATGCAAATGCTAAAAGAGACTTAAGACCATAATAAAGCATTAAGAGAGGCACAAAGGGAAAAACAACAAAGCACCAACGATTTTTACTTATCAGAGGTTGCTCTCTATTTTAGCACCTTTCAGTTCAAATGTACAGAACAGTTTTTCCCGTAATTCTTAACCCTTACTGCATAGGCAGAATTTGACTTCGACTTCTAAAGAACTCTGGAATGTAAGAAAATAGTAATCTTTGATAACCCAAACTCAAAGCAACATGAAATATATTTTCCCAATTGCATAATTTGCGTTTTTGAGGGAAAAATGGTTTGTGTGTATCAATTCCCTTGTTTTAACTTATGTGTAAAAGACAATGGAGCTAATTTTGTCCCGGGAGTGTCCATTTATACTATTCCTACAGAAGCTTTTGCTTTGCTATGATTCAAATTAGTAGATGCATTAGTTGATAAAAGTTTCAAAGCATTCAATAAGCAAGTCAAATGAAACTAATTCCTTTTAAGTATATTTTTCCTATTTCTAACTTCCCACTAGAAAGTGATACTGGTTATAATTTTTATAATTTTGCTGACTCATACAAAATTTACAAACTAGGTCTAGCAAATCCCTAAAGAAGGTAAGGAGAGTGATAAAACTGACATATAATAAAATATAACAATGACCATGTCGATATGCCAACCTGAATTAGCAAGAGCTATAGCTTTGAGGGTGACAAATTCTTCTTTCTCCAGCTTCATGCTCTTGTATTTCTTTACCAGCTGCAGGATAGCATTATTTAGATCAAGAAGGCCTGCTAATTTGGACTGGTCTTCATCCATTATATAATCGTCTGCATAGACAAGTTCATCCTCAAAGGAAAGAGATCGGTATACGACACCAAGGATCAAAATTTCCATCCAAGCACTCTGCAGAAGGCTCATCTGGTCCGCCAGGGACAGCGTGGAGAAGCCTGCATGGAAAAATGGGCAGATCAAGTTACTTTAAAGCCATAATTTCATAATGCAACATTAGTTTCATATGGTAGCCGGCTTCTGCATCACTGCTCAAAATTATGCTGAGCTTTGATTAGAAGCTCTTAAAATTTTCCCTGAATCACTCTGCAAACAGCAAAATGAAAGTCACAAACCAGCTTTTTCAATTTGTGAGTATTTTCTATAAGCTTTATAGACACAGCTTAGGGGAATATAATAGAAATGTAGTTTTCTTTCATTTGAGAAGAAAATACCATGAAATTTTTATACTTGATTTCTGGTGCAAGTCATCTATCTCATCTCTAAAAACTACTATTGATAAACAGAATGAAAGTTAAAAAAAAAAAAAGCTAAAAAACAAAGGTAAACAAACAATTTAGGCCACAGAGCTCAGCACACCATGGAAACATTTCTATATGATATTAATAGTTACAAACACAATGGATAATGAGTTAACAACTAGGGAAGCTTTCTTGATTGGCTATTTCCCCCCACTGATATTTAATATGAATTTCCTTTAAAATTAGTGATAATTGGCATCAAAGAAAGTGGAATACTTAGCAGCCTGGCCTCCTCACCAAATAGAAAAGCCCCATTCACTATTGTTATTAAGATCCAGATATTTAAAAAATTAAATATAAATGTAGCAGGGTTTGGTGCCAAGGAGTCGGATTCTGAATATAAATATTGGCTCCAATTAGCTACTGGCTCTTTCACCCTGAGCAAGACCAATTAACTTGTATCTTAAATTTTGTATTTGGGAAATGTAAAATATCACCTACCTAAACATTAAGTTTAACATGCAATTCATTAAGTGCTGTATTATTAATATGTTATTTTTATCTGACTTATCTAGCTGATCAATTCTTTTCTGCAAATCTGGGATGCATTCACACATGCACATTTAAAGTCCTTTCTGAGCTGGAGAAAACATATGCAAAAAAATTAAAAATGTTCAATAGAGAAAGATGAAGCAGTGCAATTGAGGCTACTTGGGAGTGAAGATGTATATTTATATGTCAGAGAGACTAGATCTGTATTCTAAAGTGAAGATACTTGATGATCAGATGCTTTTCCCAAGTCCTAAAAAGCAAATGCTACTTAAAACTTCACTTTTATTTCCAAGTATATACCTAAGACTTCTAAGGGTAACCCCCCACCCCATGGTTTCTGAGGAGAGTGTTGCCATCATTTAAGGTCCTGCCACCAGTAATTCTACAGGAAAGGAGGATCATTTTTAATAATGCAACTTAAGACATCTATTTTTGCTCCCTTTCTAGACATTATTACCCACATCATAAATACCCACTGATGCCCAGCCTTTTTAGGCTGCTGCTGATGGTCACTGTTGCTGTCCTTTTCATTCATATCAAATTGTGCATATCCCATATGATACTAGAAACTGCAGCACGGTAAAGAAAAGGAAATGATTTCCTGACCTATTGGTGAAAACTGGTGGTTTGCCATTTGGTACCATTAATTATAAGCGCTTAATAAAATCAGACGGGACGAGTCAAGCTTTTCTTAAGGGAGTCTTTAGGGCATATTTAAAAAATGCATTTCTTTCATTGTTTATTAAGGTGCTACACATTATGTGACAGGATTTCTTTTGGACTGGCTGTGTAAGTCTTTTTTTCTTATTCTGTTTTTGTCATTGCATTTGGGGTTAAATTAATATCCTTTTAGAGATATAATAGAGGATAACATTTTAAACAGTGATTCAACAGAGAAAGTATTTAACCTGAATAGGTTTGGCTGCAGGTGCTTTTAATTTTAACAATGTTATATTCACAATAAACAGAAAATCACACTGCTCTTTTTTCTATCCCCTTCCAAGGAAAAAAGGTGAAATGTAAATCCAAATATCTACCTCAAGAAAACATACTAAGTGGGAATTTCTTGTGTAAATTAAAAGACCAAAAAATCATCTAGAAAGTTGTTATGAGCAAAAAAGGAATGCATCTTTTCAATTGGCCGGAGTTTTCTTGTTCCTTTTCATGCTCCCAAGCCGCAGTTTTTCTGCAGCAGCAGATGGACAGAGCGTGTAGCCTGCAGCACCTTCCTGTGACAGCCCTATTCTCCCTCCCAGACACTGCTGTTAGTAAATAGATTTACACATTCTCCAATCTCCACACATCTTTCTGCCGAATAATTAAAAGCAGGATGATTAGTTTATTGAGTGGAAGGAGGAACTTTTTTATTGAGGTCCATCCACGATTTTATCAGGGCCAGCACTTTTACGGTTGTCAGGGGGGTGCAGGCATCCAATTTTTCTTATCTGCCTGATTAATACAAACGCTGTTTCAGGACGCATTAATTAACAGATACAAATCTACGTTCTCATGGAAGGATCAATACGGAGAAGAAAAGAGGCATCAATGTGAATTTAGTGCTGATGATGGAGAAGGCACGCTATCGACATTTACGTGCACGGAAACTTTAAAGTTGCACCAGGCCCCCTTTGTCCCTGTGATTTACAAATTAACAATGTTCCAGCCATAACAACATTTCACACATTTCTTTGGGGTTTAATTAAGCAAAAAAAATAAAATTTCATTTTTAAAGTTGATCCTGCAATTTGTTCTATGTTGATGGGGGGTGGGTGGGTGTGTGTGTGTGTGTGTGTGTGTGTGTGTGTGTGTTTTTATCCCTCCTGTATAACTTTTTTCTTTTGCTTTTCTATGAAATAAGGAAAAAAGGTGAAGAAAAGGCTCTTTTTTTTTTTTGTCACGGAGCATGAAGAGATGGATATAGCACAAAAGGTTTGACAAGTTTGCTTGCCTGATATCCTCAAGTATATTTCAGCTGATTAACGGAAGTATATTTTTTGCAAATCCACGGGAAAAAGAACAATCCATGCTTTCAAAAATAAAAGTCTGAACTTCTATCTTTTTTTGGTCTAGAAATTACTGTCTCATTTTAACCCTTTCCTACCACATCACCGAAATCTGGAAGCTAGTACAAAGCACTCTCCTGCCCAAATGCCTGAGCAGCAGTTAGACGGACTTGTTAGGAGATAGATAGTCATGTTCACCTGGTCGCTAAGGAGGCCAAATACATAACAGAGATTTTATCTTAATTCCATAAAATTATTTTACCTCTCCTTTAGGAGTGCCAGCTATATTGCACATACATAAAAACACATGGATAAAATAACATTTTTATCAATAGACCTGAGCACTGTATAAAATTCTAAATAAACAAAGCCTAAATGAAAATGCATGTTTTAATAAGCTGAGTCTAAGAAATTTTCTTAAACCATAATTGCTCTATTGGCTTACACATGCTCATATCCAAATGATAATTACTTGTTTTTATCAGGCATTTAACGGTATTTTATAGCTCTTGGCCTATAAGTTAGAGGTCTTCATCATCTGTGATATTTAGCTATCTTTGGAGGGAAACCTCTTTCCCAAGTGAAATAAAATATGCTTTGCAGTTGTCCCGTGTGAACTTCATGTTTTGTACATCCCGGGATCTTAATCTTTGGCGTGTGACAGGTTATAGTTTTAAATGTTCAGCCGTATTACAGCTTTTTAAAATACACTGATACCATGGCACATTTTTTCTTCCCCAGCTACAGCCCATTCCGTGCATATCACTGACAACTGGATCTCTCTTCATCTCTGTCCCAGAGTCAGTGCCATTGAATGTATCTCAGGCATTCTGCTAGCACAATGACTCTCTACCTTGACCCGCAGTTAAATAGCATGTTTATCTGCAATGCAGTGTGCTCCAAATAAACCAGATGACAGTTGGGAATATCATCATTTGGAAGGATTGAAAAGCTTCTCGAGAGGCAGGTACCCCTGAGGTAATAGGCTTGAAGAAAGCATGTTTTGTGCCAGCGTCTTGCCTTCTTCTACTGGAAACTTCGGAGGTTGACAGTGGTGCCATGGGCACTCATCAAGCACTCTTTTTTTAGCCTGGCAAACTGATGCACTTTGCAGTCAACTTACAAAAAAGGCTAAGCATTTGAAAGTGTGAAGGGCAAAAAATATCTGACGGCTAGTCTTCAAAAATACACTTTCATTTCAGAAAGCATAAATGTTTATTTCCTGAACAAAGTGTTGACAGAAATAGGCTGCAGCGCAGGCATTTGGGTTTAACCCCTGCTAGGCATTTTCTTCTCGGCTGCTCTCTTGAAATAGAGAGCAAGCATTTTAAATCTTCAGGGCGTCTGTTAATATCAGTGAATCATGGCATTGATTTACCTGATCACAGTTTTTGAACTGTAGTTTTTCTGTTCCACAAAAAAAAAAAAATAACATTTTTCAACAAATAGCATCTCATGCTAGAATTTTAATTATGCCATAATGACTCACTGAGATCACAAACGAAGTTCATTTTGAGAAGCTGATTGAGCAACGTGACATAAGCTAGATTTTGTCTCCCATACAAATAAACCTAATGTTTACAGGAAACAGAGAAAAAAAGAGTAACATTGGCACTAACATTTCGTCTTAGCTACCAATAGACACACAGATGCATAACCCTTGTTAGAGATAAACTTTTTTTGTATTTTTAAGCCAGATGTTCTTTTCACATATGGGGCAGACATACCACTTTGTCCTATGATTCACAAAACACACAGCTCAGGGGCTTCTTGGAAACCTATATATATATATATATATATACACACACACACACACACACACACACACACACACACACTCACACTCACACATATATAGTCTCTTACAGGAGACTTCATATATATATATATATATATATCTACACACACACTTTTTTTCATAAACTGGAACTCAGTAGGAGCTAGAGTTAAACAGCTACAGATGGTTAACTGTTGAAGTGAAAGCTGGAACATCTACATGGTGCTATCAGAAGCATTTTATTTAAAATTTTTCTTTAAAAGGGATAATTGTTTGTACTTAAGCTTTAGATACAATACCTATACTATTCTTTGAATCTTTACTCTTTTGAGCTGACCATGATTCAAATTTTACTAATTTAGACATAATCACAATTGGGTGGAATGTAAGAATAATTGACAAAAATGGAAAATAGCTCCCTTGCTAACTAATCATTTGTTTCAACATTTGTTGATTCCATAAGAAGTCTGTTTCTTGTACTCTGTTTCTATACTTTAAGTAGGCTTCACATAAATTTTATGGAACTACTATTTTTAAATAGTGGTTAAACAAGACAAGTACAAATTCCTAAAATCTAAAAGGGAAGACCCAAGTTTTAATACAATTTTATATATAATGGCAGAATTGACCACCTTCTATAAAACTGAGCAAATGATCTAAGTAGTTGTGAGAAATTAAAGGAGAGGAAAACAGAAATGCAAAGGTAATACCTAGCAGTCCAAAACAGAATTATCACTGTTAACTGAATTTACGGGTGCAATTGACCACTGACCACTCATGCTGATTATATAAACAACCAAATGAGTTTGCAATTAGCCCAATCACAGGAACAGAAATGGAAAACATGCCCCCATAGCAGTGGTGTAATGCTTTCTTTGGCAGTTATTCCTGGTTTTCCAGTCCAGCGTGCTAGAAAAATTTGAAATATAATAGCAGCTAAGAAAAAATACTACAAGTGGCAATACAGGAAAAACTCAAAATGATGACAAGAGTTTTTGTTTTGTTTTTCTCCTGTGAGTGGGTGGTTTTTTTAACAACTGCCAACCTACTTTCAAAAGTACTAGAGACGGGGCCGATGAATGCCTCCTGAGAATGTAAAGACACCTACATGGAGTGTATAGCTCCTCTTTGGAAGTCCTTACTTGCCCTTACTTATCTACTACTTCTGAATGACTGGAGAGGATCTGAAATAATTCCCTTAGCTTTTCCCAAACTCCCTCTTACTTGACCTCAACTTTACTACTTCTGACCTTTCATCTAAGCCAAGAAGAAAGAAAAATGGTTGGGGGACATGAGGGAAGCATAGGCTGAGCTGCCTTAATGAGGGAAATCTAATGGCTTTCTTTTCCTACAACCTTTATTTTTTACTAGCTGAAAATAAGTTCTGCCTGGAAAGCTCTCCTTTTTGATGTGACTGAAATTTGTTTGACCATGAAGAAAAAAGGAAAGCAATGCCATATAATATAGGGCTCTAAAAAATATTTTTTAAATGGCATTTTCAGTCTCACTTTGGGATTAGATGGATACCGAATAGAGAAAAACACCATTTGGAAGCCACACTTCTGATTTGAAAGAAAAAGGATCTATGCTTGAATCCGACTTGCTTTACTAATGCACTGGTAGAACCAGGCCAAGCAGTAATACCATAGAAAACCAGTCCCACTTGGGAATCAGATATGCAAACATTATCCTCTTTAGGAAATTCCCAAGGGGTCCGCATCAAATTTGGTCTAATAGTTTAAAAATCAAGCCTCCAAAATAAACACATACATGTGCTACCTTGGACTTTGGAGAAGGCTGACATTTCCACAAGCTTTTAAAGAGTCTGTGGGAAACATTTAGCAACAAATACCCGTCAGATAAAGGTTTATAGCCATGAAGTGACAGCTGAGGGGAGAGGATAGAGAGGGGAACTATGACTTTGAGGTCTAGAGACCTGACTACAACCATTGGTATTAACTTAGCCCCTGTGATGAGCTGACTTGTGCCATCCCAACCAGAAGATGTTGGAGTCCTAACCTCCAGGACCTGGGAACGTGACCTTATTTGGAAACAGGGTCTTTGTAGATGATCCCATTAAGATGAGGTCATTAAGGTGGGCTCTAATGTAATATGACTGTATCTTCATAAAAAGGGGATATTTGGACACAGAGATGGACATGTGCAGAGGGAAGATGATGTCAGGACACAGGGAGAATGCCACCTACAAGACAAGGGATTCTTGAGGCCACCAGAAGCTAGGAGAGACAGGAAAGAAGCATGGAACAGATTTGCCTGCAGAGTCTGCAGAAGGAACCCAAACCTCCTGCCACCTGCTCTTGGGTTTCCAATCTCCAGAGGTGTGAGCCAATAAATTTCTGTGGTTCAATCCACCCAGTTTTTGGTATTTTGTTTTAGCTGCCTTAACAAACTAATACAGACCCACAGGTGACCTTATCTGTCTATTGCAAACTGTAGACTACACACTGCTGATGAATCTTCCAGTTCCAATAGTTTCCTATTCAGAATAACAAACAGAGCTACTTTCATGAAGCACAAGGCTGTCTGGGTAATGGTGAGCACCTCAGACAAAGGCCATGGACTGGGAGTAAATAGACCTAGAATTGGGTGCCACCTCTGCCACCAAGGAACTGTGGGACTCTGAGGAATGACTCAACTTTGCTGGTTCCTACTTTCATCTGTAAAATTAGAAAATAGAAAAAGTATTTCTGAAGGTTTATGCCAACTCTAAATTATTAGGCTTCCAGTGGTTCTACAGTAACAAAATTCAAATCAACTAATATTTAGAGCATCTATTATAAGTGAAGCCCTATGCTCAGTACCATTGGAATATGCAAAATGAATATGATGTAATCCTTGTCATCTAAGATTTTATAGCAAAGTGGATAACACCATAACAACCAAAAAAAAAAAAAGTAAGGTTGGATCCAAGTACATATCTATGCAGAAAAGAAGA